CAGCATCATGATGCTGCTCCCCAGAGTAGGGGGCATCTGGGAGGAAACTGTGACTGGAAGAATTGAGAGCAGCCATAAATCACAGTTGGGTGCTCCCTGGTAGGCACGCCAGTATAACAAGTTGGGTTTTAAGTTCCCTGTGTCTGAAGCCATGTCTCCCATCAGATGTCACACATCTGTTAACCTCTTAGGCTTCTGCATGGGCATATGTCTGAAGATTCAGAAGGATGCAGGTGTTGACTATGTAAGTGGAACAATGAGAACCTGGGGAAGCCTAATTTAGAAGCAGTAAGATCTATACTCCTTGTCTAACAAACAGGATGTGGAGTGGAGGTGAGACTGGTGGCTTCTGGGGAAATGTTGTAAAGACCGAGCATCCTGTCCTCTGCTGGGCCGTGCCCAACCGAGGCTTATTTTGTCGCCTCTTGTCATTCTCCTGTTTCAAGGCACATATTTTATTTTACTAGAAACAGAGCAAAACAATAGAATCTTTAGGTGATTTTTCTCTTGGAATTTCAAATTCAGTCTGAAAAGTATGACGGTGTTAGTAAATGAGTTGACTGTCTCTTAATCCATGTGCTATGTATCTGTCTTCCAGGCAAAATGTTCCAATCAAACCCCGATCCTCCCCACACTTGGCCACTTACTAGCTCTATAAAATACAGTCATGGCTTCTCGGGTACCAGTTGGAGTAAGTAGCTGTCATCAAGACCATCAAATGCTCTAACTGGAATTTTGATAGGATGCAGGGAGGGAGGAAAGAAGTGAGGGAGGAATGCAGGGACGGAGACAGGGAGGGAGAGGGTGAGAACACAACTCATGTTTATTTTAATGGTTTTCCTTCAGAATTGCTTCACAGGTTTGGATGTATATTTGAGGCCTCATCTGGTGCAATCTGCCTTCATGCCAGAGCCCGGAAGAGAGAGAAGAGGATCTTAGCCCTGATACTAATGTCGTCAACCAGCCCCAGGATGCTTGCACAGGGACACAATAAGATCATCCATTTTAATGTGTAAATTTTAAACACCCCCCTTCTATTTAGTGAGGGCTTTATTTTAGATTATTTGGTATCACAGTCTTGTTATTTTCCCCCTCTGACATCAAGCCGCAAGATTGTCTCAGAGCCTGGCACAGCTAGAGCCAGAGATGAGAAGAATGTGCAGGGACCAAAAAAAAAAGTGGTTTCCTAGCAACAGGAACTATTCCAAAGGTTTCCTAACTCTTGTGTAGTTTCATTTCCATAGCAATGAGGAGAATAGTAAATAGTATGTGTTCTTATCTGTTCGATCCAAATGAATTCTAATCATCAAATACCGGAAACATCTATACTTGTATTACAAGATTCAATCTGATTGTCTAGAACACATATTACTGCCTAGATTAGGTGTAATGTATTTTGATAAATCAGATGCCTGAATATTTTAAAACTATTTTTCATTTTTTTGGTTTTGTCTTTTTTTTTACCCTTAGAAACACTTGCTAAAACAATCAAAAAGGACAAAGTTCTTGTAGAAGAAAAAAACTATAGTGTAAGAAAAAAAATGATATTCAAATACTAAGTTTGTCCGGTTTAAAGATCAGGAACAGATATTTAGTTACTCAATTTTCTTTTTATCGAAATAAATAAGAGGTTTGGGCAAATGGCTCAATGGGTAAATGTGCTTGCCTTGCAAGCAGGAGAATCTGAATTTGAATCCCCTGTGTGTGTATAAAAGAACCAGCAGCCAGACGGTGGTGGCACACGCCTTTAATCCCAGCACTCGGGAGGCAGAGGCAGGCGGATCTCTGTGAGTTCGAAGCCAGCCTGGTCTACAAGAGCTAGTTCCAGGATAGGAACCAAAAGCTACGGAGAAGCCCTGTCTCGAAAAACAAAAACAAAAACAAAAACAAAAAAAAAAAAAGAACCAGCATAGTGCTAAATCTATAACCCTAGCCCTTGGGGTAGAGGTGGAGGCAGATAGGAGGAGTCCTATTTAGACCTCACTGACCAGTCAGCCAAAGGCAGAGTTTCGGGTTTAGTGGGAAAGTCTGTCTCAATGCAATAAGGCAGAGAATGGCCGAGGACACCTGAAGCCCTGCTTTGGTTCCATGGACAGCACACTGGTATATTAACATATACTGCATCCATGAAAACACCGAGAAGTTCAGGGCTCAGTGCCAGTGCAATTATCTCTCCCTTCTTCTCATGTTTTTCCTTTAAAATTGATCCCATCAAAATCAAAATCACAACCAAAATACACTCTCTGCATTATGCACCCTAAATGTCACCATTGCAATTGTTCATTCCTCCTGGAAGGACAAGACTGTATTTCTCTTCCACAAAGAATGGGCAAGTCAATATTCATAAAAATAGCAACAATTAAAAAGAATCAAAAAAAAAGAAGAAAAAGGAGAGGAATAAGAATATGTATGCACTCAGACCCTTTGAAATTACTCTGAAGAAAAAGCAGAGAATAAAATGATGAAAAAAGCAATAGAGACAAAAACTGTATTCTTAGGTCTCTTGTGGATTAGCAGCTAAGAATTACAAATTAAGTATTTAAAAGCCACACATTACAATTCCGTATTTCACAAACATTGTTCTATTTGCTTTGGTGTGTTTTTCTGGAAACAGTACTGATAGGAGGCACCGAGGCCATGGGAAAAGGGTGTTTTTTTCTCCTATCCTACATTCAGTGTTAGGGGAATAAGGTCACAATATGAGACAAATCTACTGCCAATGTCAGGGTGATACATGTGCAGATTAGAAAGACCCATTGCCTTCAAAGATGCTTGCTGTGATGCAGCCCTTACAATGTATAAAATGGTTTAAATTATAAATGTAAAAACCTTAGTTCTTTAGTATCAAAATTTCTTTAGGAATTCTGAAGATCACTTGCCCTTAATGGAAGTATATGGATTTTTATCACGGTTACAGAGTGTTTATATGATTCAGTGAAAAATAAAGAAAAGAATATGTTCATTTTAGTGTTAGAACTAAAGAATGCTATAATGATTCACTGTGAATTTGTCAACAATACATTTACTCATTTTGAATTATCCACTGAAAAATATCAGCAAAAATGACCATGCTTTTGCTCCTGCTAATAGGGAAAATACGTATTTACAGATTTCTTATTTAGTAGAAGCACTTGTTACACGGTTTGACTTAATTGCACTTAAATCATGTTTTTGACAGCTACTCCTCTAATTAGAAAGTACTTAAAAGTTCTGATTGGTATCAAGAATTTTTCAGCCAAATATTTTTCTCCCTGTAAGCAGCAGAGATTTGATAATAAGACATCATATCTGTCATTTAAAATTCTGTTTATTTTGAGGAAAGACTAGCAATGTCTAAAAATGAGACATGAGTTGGGCATGTGGCTTAGTGGGTAGAGAGCTCGCCTAACATGCACAAAGCCCTGAGTTCAGGCCCTAGCACAGATAAAACTTACACAGGAAGTCTGAGATTACTGTAGGCTACTCGACTTCGTGCATTTAAGAGAAGAGAGAGAATTCATCTAAAGGTAGAACTCTTGTCTATGCTTTCATAACTGGGGTATTCATCTCTTCTGAACATTGCATGCAGATATGTCTTACACCTTGTTTAAAGCCTGCTAGAGTCCATCCTTAATTGTCAACTGAAATGGCTCTGTGCCTATTAATTTAGAAGAATTCTTTTACTTAAAAACGTTAGAGGAATGTGAGTAAAAGAGATGCTCACGACAGTCATAGTTGGAAAAGAATATAATCTACATTTCATTCAATTGCTTTTCAACCATCATTACTTAGCTCTATAAAGAGCTTGATATTTGGGAGATTTTAGAAGTGATATTTTAGGTAGAAGTTGGTGAACAAGGTTTGACAGTTGTACACTACTTTAGACGTTGAAGTTGTGAAATATCCCTCCCTTGCAAGATGAAGAAGTCACACCTCATCTGTTTTCATGGCTTCTCGTCATAGAATATTCTTAGAATACACCTGTGAGTTTACTGCTGACATCTGTGCCTTCCTGAAATAAGGCAGAAATACGGCTCTTCCCACCTAATAAATCAGGTAGAGGCCTTTCGTTCCCTTCACACATCGCTGTGAAACGAAGGGGTGTGTGCTTAGAAGCACGCGCACTCTGATGTGTACAACACAAGTTACTCAAGCACACTCGCTAACGTGGACTGACAGTCAACCGGTCTCAAAATCACTCACTTGGTGTCAGCTTGTTCTTTTGTCCCTACTCGTCCCCAGAGTAAACACTGAGATGACTCATAAACCTTGTCAACACTGCGTCGGTGCTTGCAAGCACCCTGGATAATTTTCACACTGGTAGGAAAACAATATTTTAGCCCTAAACCACACAAGTCTGCTGTCTCTCGCTGTCTTCGCTAGGCTTGGTACCTATCAGGGTTTCTAATCCAGAGAAGGCTTCCTTTTCCGAAAAGTAACTGAAACTGTGACCCAGACAAGTGCTGGGGTTTCAGGCCTGTAGAACCCATGGACACTGACTGCCTGGAATGCCTTAGTATGTTAAGGTTTTGTAGTTGTTGCTATATACATCCAAATGACGATCATTTATCTTTTGTAAACTTTCAAATGCAGTTTGCATGGAAAGTAAGATTAGTTAGTAATAGGACCTGGGATATGCTATATGTAGTAGCTATATTAGGAGACAGGTAAGAAATAGCAGGGTGTGATGTCTATGAACAGTGCATTTAAGGCATGCCCCCTTTACCCTTTCTCCCTCTAGTTTATTTGTCTGGCTTGAATCTGTTCCTGGTTCTTGGCACCTCTGGATGCGTTCCCCTTGTACAAATCACATGTATGTCACCCTGTCACTTTATGGGTGTCCAAGTCTCCTGACTTCTTTCTTCGAGTTTCTTTCCGCCTTTGAATCTTAAGCAACAGTGAGTGGAGAAGATCCGCTTAGTCTGAAGAGCAGGATTGCAATCAGAGATCTCCCTGCGGTTAATTAAGACACAGGTTCCCACGTTCGCTTATCGCTTTCACAACAGAAATCAATTCCTCACCTCTCTCCGAAGAATGCAATGGACCATGACTATCACGAAGCCTTGTAACGAATCAAACACAGCAAAAAGGATTTGGAACAATATGGAACGTTTGTCTGTCATGGCCAGAACTGCAGACATCCATGTCAGAGCCAGAAGGGGCAGCACTACGCAGGAGCTCCAGAGGGAGGCCCTGTGGAAAGAGAAAAGAGAGCAACATTACGTAGTTGCATGCCACGCTCCAGGCCATAACCAAACCCCCCTTCACTCTCCCCAAAAGCATTCTTGTGTGTGGCACCAAGACTATTAACTTGGAAACCACTAAGCAAATAACACTTGAGATTTGGACTTATCTTTTATAGACTATCCCGCAATCATTATAAAGGTAGTTGCCCAATTATAAATACTCAAGTATTAGCAAACACAAATTTTTTTTTCCATCATAGCACTTTCTCACATGCACATGTAAACTTTTTAACAAGAAGATGTAAATGATTGGGACTAACATGGCGTTACTGGCGGTGGTGGCTGACAAAGCTGTTGTAGAAACTACTCCACACTTGGCACATTTGAGCGTCAAACCGCTATGAGGCTCACTCATCTGACTGCAAACAAACAGAACACCCACAAAAAGAACAAAAATGTTGAATTGTCACCAAAAAAGTTGCAGCTGCAGGTTATTTTTTAAATACTATTTCATGCAGAAAAGGTATATTTATCAAGGATGAATATTCTAGATCATTTTACAGATGCAGTTAAACCATGTATTCTCCCTGCAACATTCACATTTTAACGCTGTGGGCTCTTGGAGCATGCAAAGTATGTTTCGATCACTTACATTACACATGGCCCTGTGTCTATAAAATACAATTGGCTAATACATTGAGTTAAATGCATGCACGTGCTTAAACCCACATACAGTAATAACTCTTTATTCAGACCCATGGTAAACGAACATGTGAGGACTCCAAGACTCAAAGATTTTCATTGTCATATGAAGAAGTTTCAAACGTTAGGAAGACTTTCAGAAATATTAATATTATGGTAGGGGATCTAAGAAAGTAAAATATGTATCATACATATATGTGTATATATATGATATATATGTAAAGTCTTCGAATGTGAGAGATGAGGTTTCTAACTCTACAGATTCTTACTCTGAAATGTTTATAGCATCAATGCTTGTTCAAATTATAGGATGATCTGAATACAGAGACTGACAGAATGAAAGATTACATAATAATAAAAGAGCATAAGACATATTTATAACAGTAATTAAGTTCAAAGTAAGAGATTAAAACATACAACACTTAATGATCTATGTGGGGCCAAGAATTCAGATTCAAAATATGTAGATCTTATCTATTACTTTATGGAAGCAAAATGAGACTAAATAGTAAACCTTTGCATGCATTTCCCTTGCAAAATTGTTCCCTGAAACATTATGGGTTTATTAGTACACAAATCTCCTAGAAAACCCCATAAGAAATAAACTGAATGAAAATTCAAAACTTTCCTGTGGCTAACTTCTGCACTCCATTCCCACGTGGTGTCAATGTCTACTATGTGTTTGCCATGTAAATCTTTACATTCATGATAGAGTGGAGCTGTGTTATTGTATATAGTGAGTGGGAGAGGATGGAAGGCTTGATTTCTTTTCAGGGAGTAACTCAGTTGTAAATGGCTCTCAGGTGGGATAAGAAAACCTGAAGTCTATCAGACTGATCAGCAGATCTCATGAGGATAAAAACAACCAAACAAGGGTTTCTACTGAGGCAGTAAATCACCCGCTTTCTGGATCTAACAAAGCAGGGTCTTTATCCCAACCACACGTGTGCACAAACTCGAAGTGTGGTGTGTGTTTTCCCATGTGAGTAGTTCTATGACCTTGTGGAGTTTTGTTTCCAGAGTGGCACCTGGTTGAGTTTGCTCTCGTGGCTGTATAAATCTCTCTTATCTCCTCTTGAACCCTCTAATCAGAGGACCCAGACAGATGTCCTTTTTAAAATGTCATAGATGATTATGACAAACAAGTAGGCAAGAACACAACTGCCCAGAAATACACCTGAATCTCTTTCTTGTTAAGCTTAAACACATTATTATTCAAAAGCCATGTATTCATCATTTACTGTTTCTTTTATCACAGAACATATTAGTTATTTCTCAGTTTAAGAGTACCTTCCCCTGGGCTCCGAGGCAAGATTGAAAAACCAAAGATTATAATAATAACCTTTAATAATTTAATAATCAATAATAATGATGCTGATGATAATAATAATAATGTAATAATAATAATAATAAGATAATCACCCAAGATACAAACGCCTTAATCCTAAAAACCTGATTTAAGTATGAAATTTTCTGATAAATTTGAAGCAGGGTTCAAAGTACTTCATCTTTCTTTGAGACTTGCAGTGGGCTAAAAGGCCTACACATTCTTCCCTTACAGTAAACAAGTTGAGCAGCTTTGACATACAAATGACAGGAATGGAGTAGAGTGAAACACCAAGAAAAATGTATTTTTCTATAGTTTATGTGATTTGTACATAAATTAATGAACCGTGGAAAACATATACTAGATTCTAAATTGAGTTCCTACCAGTGTAAAATAAGCGGGTTTTTTTGTTATCAAGAGAATTATACACTCATAAAGTTACAAGCCTAAGCGATGATGAAACACAAAGTTGACTTGTCCATATTGTCTGATAAATTCATCACCATCAGGGCACAAGATGTGGGTGCTACCCCACTCTCCCCATGTTGTTCTGTCTGCTCTATCTTTACCATAGACTTGGAGTCCACTGCGCTTGTCCCTTCTCAACTCATTCTGTTATTTTTAGGAAAAGTTAGTTGACTATTTATTTTTAGTATCTAACATATTCCCTCGTAAAAAAGTATTCTCTCCTCCACTTGAAGAAAATTCACAGAATGTGTTAAGGGTGTGCTGAGCTAACTTCCATGATTTCAAGTAGATATAACAGAGCAGTTGAATACATTCTACAAGAAAACACCATTGCAAAGAAATTGAGAAAATATAATTTTTGTTCTGATATTCCAAAAAGATACATTATAATTTATATTGTTTTTTAATTATTCCTACTTATTTTTTATATAATATATACTGTTATTTTCAATAACTCACCATGGGTTATTTTATGTATTAGAAAACGTTTAATATGGTTAAAATGTAACACAGCTTTTCAGGCTTGTTTTATTATTTATTAAACATTTATTCATTCATCCCTTTATAAATATTTATTGAGGACAAAACTTAGAAAGTTCTTAGAAGTGATTATAAAGTATAAGAAAGACAATAAATGCAGAAATAGAAAAAAAATGGAAGAGTGAATAATTTTACTTTAAATAATATAGTCTAGTTTCATAAAATACACTTCTCTTTATATATATAGAGAGAGACGTATTTATATGTATATATTCAGCCAACCTGAAATAGCCAACTTGACAATTAGTGAAATCAATTACTTAGCCAGTCAGCATAAACCTTCTCACTGCCTTCTCAGTGCATCTGATTAAGCTCCTCTTTGAAGTCTTTATTACGCTCGTCACTGCTTCTCTGAAGACTAAAAGTAACTTCACACATTCATCGTATTTTTTTGAAGTTTCCTTTATTCACACTTCAGATTAGAGAACAAATCTGAATCTATATCTACTGATCTACCTTAGAATTTGTGTTTGACAAATGTTGAAGCTTGGTCGTTACCTCGTTCGCTCTCCTGTGCTCGGGACAGCGATCCTAAGTCTACCTGTGGAAAGACTTGAGTATCTTTGTAGAAGTCCCCATGTGAAGAGGAAGGCACCGAATCAGGTTTGCCAGGGAAATTTATATGAATTCTACGAATGCTTTCAAAATTAGGGGTTTTCTATTATAATTATCATTGCCAAATATATAGATTGAGATTAATAATTTTTAAATTCATACTACAACGGTGGTATTTAAGTCGGGATCAATGTAAAGCAAGCTTGACACGATGCACAAAACAATGAAGGGTGAAGAGAAACACTGGCCACGAGTTTGAGGAATCCTCAGCACTCTGTTGAGCTCATCTCCCTTTCTGACCTCAGTGTCTTGCATGATGAGGTCATGGTCAGGTACATTGCTCATGTTTCATTGCTCATTCCATTCATCATAAGATTCACTGTTGGGTAAGGCCTGTCATTTGCTGATGTTCTTTTGAAAACATTATGCACATTACTTCATGTATCTAATGAGGCAAAAGCAATCTTCCTGTTTACTGGATGAGGAGACAGGGCATCGGAAGGATGAAGTAACGTGCCTCAAGACACGTGTGCAGCTATCGCGCTAAAGAGTTCTGACTTCGACTACCTGCTTTAGGAGTTGTTGATGCCACTGGTATCAGACTCAACATTTTCTATGCAGGACTTAGTCCAATCAGCAGAAGAAATGGTTACTCTATTCCAGCTACAGGTGGCAAGCTAACAAGGGAAAATCTGTGAAAAGCTCATGTCAAATGGAATAGAAAAGTCAGTGTCAACATCAAGTTGGGAAATTTTAGAAACTAATCTGTAATGAAAAACAGTGTGTAATTTAAAAAGTGCCCCTGTGCCAGGACAGACCCTTCTTTGATTCTACTACTAAAGTTTTATGTGAACAATATTGAAGTTTTTTTATTATTATTATTGAAAGCTGTTAAATTTAGTCTCTTACTAGGGAAAAGAACTGTCTGAGCTCTTACTTTATAATCATCTCATAAATTATAAGGACAGAAAGATCTTTAATTCATCACCAGTAAGTGATCACATATTATGACCATTAAAAACATCATAAAATATTAAAAAAAAACAATTATAAGAATATGTTTTGAATGAAGGTACTTTTTATAGAAAGAAAAAGCTGTCCCTTTTTTTGAAAGAAAAGACCCATGAGAAAATCAACAGCATCAATATCTCACTCAGATATCCACAAATACTTAGAATGGGTTATTGCTGTAATCTAAAATGCTTCAATAAATCTACAAAGGAGGTGTTGGTTGATATTGCAATAACAGTAAAAATGGGGCATCTGCTTTTATAGATATTGTAGATGGTAAATGAAAATTACAAATAACTGTTCTAGCAAATTTTAAATCTGTGACAAGAACAATGCTTGATAAGTATCCATTTTATATGAAATGTTTTGTTTTGTTTTTCTGGTCTACACAATTAGCTAGAGAGGAAAGAACAAACAAATAAATCACTTTTTTCATTCAATTTAGATGTTTGGGGGTCCAGTGTGAGTAAAGATTTGGGTTTTGAAATCCCTTATCTCAGGACAATTATCAAGACATAGTGTTAGATCTTAATAGATGGGCAAGGAATGTGCATACCCCATATCTTCTCAATGGTCTGATTTATTGCTTATATTTAATACACAATATCAGAGAATCCTGAAATGGCAGAATCTACAGAAACATTAGCACATCAAGAACAGAGTTTCAGGTCCAGACCCACATAAGTGAAAACCCAGACCTGGACTATGGGATTTACTTGTAAAGAACCTTCAATATCCACCAATGGCAGCTTACCCGGCTCTGTGTTTGAGCTTTTTATCTAGGATTCCATCTCTGGAAACAAGTTTATTAAATACCAAAATGCCAATCACCATGTTGACCTGTCAAATAGAAACAAAGTTGACCTTTCAATGATACTGAAGGGGATCAGGACCCTGTTTCTCCAGTAAACAAGTCTTAGCCCCTTACAGTGGGCAGGACTCTGAGGAGTGATGTGAATGACTTCTTAAAGGTGTAACGAGCATCTGAACAGTGGTGCATGCAGCTAACATTTAGAGTCCACCAACCGCATCTCATTTCCATGGTTTGCAGTTTAACATGGCAAAATTGACCTTCGATTGCCTAGCTTTCAAAAGGTACCAAACACCCCATCAATCTGGTCTTATTCTTTCTAGGGAAACTGCATAAAACAATGGACTAAATGAGTTTTATTCCACACTTTAAAGCCAAAGCACTTTAAATCTCCCAGCAAGAAGCTGGGCTGAGCCTAGGCAGGTGAAGCGACTAAGGATTTTCCACTAGAAGAGAAGACAGAATGGCTAGCTAGTCTGCATCTGTGTTGTGGCTGCTCTCTCCCAGGTTTGCGGACTTTCTGATACACTCTTTTCTAGGAAGGGAAAGCCTATTCAATCTCCAGATTCCTTCAGAGGATGGAGACTGCCTTTAGTTCTTAAAATACACTCCTGAATGCATCTTCTCAACTTCTTTCTAAGACTCCTTACTCTCACTTACATGGCCTTTTGTATAATACTAATGACATGAAATCAGTAAGAAAATGTTCTGCTGATAGAAGGCTGAAATCTGTCCACTTGCTGGTATGAGAAAGATCCCAAACTTTTCTGTTAATAAGTGATTTAGGAGACGTCACTCTTAGAGTCTGGGCAATATACCACTCATCAGAAGAATGTACCTTGCACTTCTTTTTACTTAAACTAAGAGAAAATATAAGTTCTAGGGAGTCTATTAATTCACAACTTAAAACATGAGAGAATTTATGTCCAGTAGAGATCTATCATATTGGTGTTTCAATTATATACATACTGGCTATTTCTTCATTACAGGGTTATATGTATGTTAACCCAGCAGCTTAGGAAAATAACTCAATTGATTTAATAAAAATCCAACGCAACAGACAAAAGTGTTCCCAGTAATTTCAAGTTCCCTATGCTTTTCTGTAACACTCTTGTCTTCAGTGTTATGGTTTGGTTTTGTTTCTTTCTTGTAAACCATGGGCAATTTTTGTTCCTTGGTATAGCTTTGAAGAATGAAGGCTCTTTAAGAGAAGAAGCCTAAAATAGTGTTACTAAGAAAGAGGTTTCCAGTGTCCAAGTTATTGAATGAGCCATTCAAAGAACTGAAAGGTAATTATCTCGCAGATAGCCTAATTGAACAGTGATATGCGTCTTTGTATTTAATATATCTTTTCTTTCCTCCTTCATTTTCGTCAGAATGATGAGTGAGCATAAGAGAAGGAGGGGGACGGAGGTCGGGCAGGAGAGAGAGAGACAATGGAAAGAGGGTAGAAAATTTTACATCTTATAATTTTTAAAATTGGGAAACTATTTTGCTATTCTAAAAAGAAAATGATTAAAGTCTTTGTAGTTAATAGCTACTGGTGGTTTTTAACTTGGAATAATATTGACCCACCAAAAATATCTGGAGCTGTGGTAGGCAAAGGGAAGGATGCTACTGAACATACTAGAATATGCAGGACCGACTGTGGAACAGTGACAAATCCATTCTAAAATGTTTGTATCACTGAGTTTGTGAAACTGACAGGTATGTATGTATGTATGTATGTATGTATATGTATACATATAGATGATAAATGATAGGTAAAGATATTTGGGAGTGGCAGTCTTGATTAATCTCCCTATTCATATATAAATACATTATACAAGATAATATAGAGGTTTAATGATATAAAGGATGGGATTTTATATACTATAGAGGAGGGATTTATTAAAGTTCACTTGAGCTTCTGCACATATCTGGAATCACTGTAGGAGGAATTCCACTCTCCCAAGTTTAATAACCTTCAGTACTTACATATGAATATTTTAGGGTAATATAAGATAGAAAGCAATTGATATTAAAATTGATGTAGTAAGTGGTTGGACTTTAAAATTTCTACCCACGAAATGCTTTATCAAACTTGCCACTCTAAATGAGCCCCTGTAATCTTTCCGCTTTGCTAATCCATTAAGTAAGTGAGTTTCAGAGTTTACCAGGACAACAGCGGCTGCAGGTCCAACGAAGGCGTAGAGCAGTCCTCCTTCAAGCGACAGCCAGCAGCTAAAAATAGCATTAGAGAAAACTAACAAAAATCAGTGATAAGCGTCAGGCCACTGGGTTGTGATGCAAGCAGCATCGGCTGGGATTTGACCTTGCGGTGTTGGCGCATTTCAAAGATTTATAGCTTAATATTTAGAAGTCATAGAAAAAGTAGGATTAGAGCATTTCATGAGGAGGAAACACTACCTACCCCTCACTACTGGGCTTTTGAGGCAGTTAAAATATTTTAGACAAATTATTCGTATATCACAATTTCTACTTTTATTTCTTGCAAAGAGATTATCCCAATAAATGTTGCTTTACCTACTTGGCTGACTCTTTCTGAGGGACTTCAAAATAGTAACAGCATGTTTGTAAAATCTTCCTTCAGGCCACTGAGATACTGGGAGAAAGTGACTTAAAAGATATCGAGGAAGGAAATAGATAACTCATATTTGCATGTGTGTGTGTGTGTTTTCTTTTTTCCTTTAATTTTACTGTTTCCCAGACTACCAAGAACATTCTCTGGAATAAGTTTGTGAATTAGAATGAGTGCAGCTGTGTTTCTCCCGTTGACTAATGTCACCAAGAGATGCATGTTTGCATGGACAGTGCTGTGGAACTTTCAGGGGCGGGGCGGGGGGGAGGGGGATGTTCATGTTCTGAATCAAAAGGAAATGAAGAGGTCAGAGGGCACAGCACTGGGAGTTTGCAGATGGAGCATGTGCAGTTGCCCACAGTCCAGGCAGTGCTGAGGAGAGAGTAAGGGGCTGTATCTCACGGCTGGTGTGGACCCAGGCCAGTACTCACGCAACTATTTTTCTGCTATTTGTCCCTATCACCAAGCAGTCCATGCATCCAGTGAGCTGCCTTCAAAACTTACAATATGTAGTGGTGACTGCCCTGTGCCTCTTCTAACAATGATTTGCTCTATTATTATTGAGGGCATAGTTCCATACATTATGCATTTGCCAAAACCACAGAAAATGATATATTTAAGAGCATAAATGTGATCCTCTAAGTTATACCTTAATTAAAATTTTAACCTAGTAGTGATATATACATACAAAAAACAGTGTATACACTGACAAACATATGTATATTTGTTTAAAAATAACACACGGCTTGGCATGCTTTGGAATTTTATAAACTTGAAAGTGGGGCCCGTAAACACTAGTAAGGTGTTTTATAAATCCTTGATTTATACCAAAACAGTTACTTTAATAGAGAAAATAATAACAAAGTGATTATGTTATAGTAGTTCTTAAATAAACACAACATTTTACTTCAGTGATATTGATTGAATTAAAGAAAATCAAGACTCCCCAAACGAGGAGTTTTCTCAGCTCTAAGAAGGAGTCTTTGTTTAGGATGGGCAGGTGAAGTGATGTCCTTTTCTACGCTTTTAATTTGGTGAGTACTAATTTACACCTGGAAACAATTACAGAATGTCACATTGTAACGTTTATTTATTCAATAATATGTACACTCTCCATTTCTCAACTACATCCTCGCTATGAAAACCGGCGTCATAAACTATGAAAGGGTATTGCTTTAAATTAGAATCATTAAAGTTAATCTTCACCATAAATTGTTTCTTGGACTTTCTGAGCATCACAGGCATAAGGTGGACATCATACCCCTTTCTAGTTTCTTCCACAGTCTAGGCATCTTGTACTATGGAATCTGTCTCCTGACCAAGCAATTGCAGCATAACACCACCAAGTAACAACAAAACCTGCATTAATAATAGCTAATGATAATAGACCTGGACATCAGTGATGTCTGTAACTGAGGGAAGAGTCACATCCTAAAACACAATAATAGAAAAATAACGTCAAGTTTTTACCAGTTCTAACAGAGAGTATTTAAGTTTTGACATGTACAGTACATGTTGATGTATCTTTAAAGGAAAATATTTGGTCTTAGGAAGAACTGGAAACAGGAATGAGGATTCTGAATAGTTGCATCACTTTCTTTACTTTTATGTGTAGAAGTCACCTTCTAGCATTGCTAATGACTCCATGACAAAGTGAATGGCATTCGGAGGCAAGACAAATAAAACCTGTTTGGTAACTTCCTTAATTATCAACATGGTTTAGCATTATGGATGGACTTACTAGTGATCCGTGCCGTATCCCTTTGTCCTGGTGAAGCCTACAGATGTGGCTACTACTAAAGCTGGCAGTCCTGCAAAAAAGCAAGGCGACATTTCATATTCAGGTGACATTTCATCTTCAGCTACGGTCACTTGTGCACATTTGCCCAGGAAAGGCCTGGACAGACTTCAGATACTCAGACCGCAGCAACTGCTGTTGGAAGAGTCACCTGGCAATGGATGTTTGCATTGCAAACTTTCAAGTGTGAGACTACAAGAGACAGGTGGGATTTTAACTTAGTGCACTGCCCTGGTATTGCTAGGTTACCACTGCATTTGACATGCTTTTAAAGGGAAGTAACAACACAGATTTAGTATATCTTTTAAGTTATTTTTTCCCTAGGGGTTTGCATCGTTATAAAGGAAATTTATAGTTAAAAAATAACCAGAAAGGCAGAAAACTGATGCCCTGGTGTGATGGCCTGTCGTAAGAGTGGAATATTCGGCTGGCCACATATTGATCCATATCAAGTTTAACTTATAATAAGAGCCCCAAAATTATTTTCTCACTTAATAATTTCTTTTCAGTTTACTTATAACAGTAACAATGTAGGAACAGTAACGATGTAGTTACCTGAAAATCTAAACCAGCTCTGACTCTAAGACGTCCTTTACTGCATATATACACATATTTGGACATGCAGTATTTCTAATCCGAACATGTTTACTCTTTCAGTTAAAATGAAACCCCCCAGTTGATCATCCTCTTGGTTTGCCCCTCTGCCTGTCTTCCTATTCTTCTTGCTATTTTCTTTCTCCTGGGAGTCTACTCTGCTAAGAGTGTATACGTTCATCAGCTTTAAACACAGAACTGTGGGAGGCATGCCAACGTCACCACGTTTACACTCACAATATAAATTTATGAGTATGAATCTCTTCGTCTCCTTCCTCTGCCTCACCCTCACCCTGCATGTTATCTGCTGACTGAATATTGTGATTGAATGAATGGAGTTCATTAGAAGCAATCAAGCACGCATGTATACCCTAATAATACCTAAGGAGTTAGTAATCTTTATTTCATATAAATTGGACTTCCTTTGTTTACTAAATTGATTGTGGAGCGTTTCTCTTCACTGATATTCTATACAACTCTTTGACGTTCAGAGAATATTGATATTACCTGTAACTTTGCAACTTTTCAATCCCTTTCTTCAAGATCTTTAGTAGCAATATTAGATAAGGAAGCTCTTGGTTACTGGCAAGGAAATCATTCTTTAAGAAAGAGCTTCCTGTACTTGCCATTTCTTCCTTTGATCTATGGTCCTAATTCACAACCAAAATGAACCTTGGTTCAATACTGCCATCATTTAAGAATGTCTTTGTCATGGAATCTAGACAAAAATCTTACCAAACTCCAAGTAGAATGTATTCTCTAACTTTCCATTTGCTTCTAGAAAGAGTCCTAATACATCAACTAAATATGAATACACCTGTGCTGAATGCTGGCAGATAACCTTTAAGTGGTTTTGATCGTGTGTTTCAGGATGAATTATTCTAGTCTTGTAATAAGTTCACTCGTTCAGAATTGCCCAGATTCCTTTTAACACCCTGTTCTCACTGTCTGCTATAACAGCAGCAGGATGTGAGCGAATGTGCACACATGTATGCGTGCGTACGTGTATGTCTATGTGTGTACTCATGTATAGTGGTCTCAGGGTGGGGATTTTAAAACTCAAATACAGACATGATAAACCCTCTCTTTTTTTCTAAAACTAGATTTTTAAAAATTAACTGTGCTTTCATTCAAACTGGTCCCATGAAATCACTGATCATTGAGATGTCTATGCCATGAAGCAACAGGAAATATTCCCCAATAATGATGGGCAGTGAATTAATTAATTCCTAGTATGGCAGCAATTGTACATTTCTACTTTTGAGAACCCCCTTACCTACATGTAAAGTTTCCTTGCCTCTCTGATGGTTTCTTCTTCCTCCCCTGTGCTTTTTTTTTTTTTAAACAGTATGGAGGTTTTTTCTTTTTTCTTTTTTTTTTTCTTTTTTTGAAATAGAACACAGAGGATTCCTAGGGTTTGCTATATGTCCTGTGGACATCCTGATTTGGGTGCCAAAACAATTCAAAGCATTTTGCATTTTCAGAAAATATCAGCAGGGAACACGTTGTCTTTCTAACTGTAGATAGCTCAGGTCTCAAGATACACCATGTAGGTACACGGAGTATTTACTAGTTAAAATCTTTGATAATTATCCCCTTAAAAAGTTCCAAATGACCCCACGGATTTTTACAAAAGGGCTTCTTCTCTCACGTTTTTGCACTTCATGTTTCAAGTTAGATACCTTAGTAACGTGGCTACAACCACTTTTTACTATTTTCTGATGTCCCTCCCAGTGTCACATCAGCAAAACATGAAAAGTATATTAATATGCTTACCCCATCCAAGGCACAGAAAGCGTTTCCGTATAAGCCGTGTCCTGATTTTTCCAGTTACAGCCATATATGACTGCCACGCTTCTGTCAAAACCCAACAGAATGAAGCCAGGAAGAAAAAATGCAAGAATGCAGTGGTGGTCGTGCAGATGCTCTGTGGAGACAGAAAGAAGCACATGCTCAACCTGGGCAGGGACCTATGATTCGGAGGACCGGACTTTTCCTTCCCTATATTTATCCTTCCTTTGTTCACAGACGATCCTACTCTGTAGTCCACACGGCCTTTAGCTTGTCATCCTCCTGCCTCAGCCTCTTGAGTTCTACGATTACAGGGTTCTGTGACTACTTTCCACTTGAAGAGGTTAAGTTCTGATGGATTTTTTGCTTTGCATAAAAGCGAAACTATTTACAGAAACTAGAACCCTTACTGGCTCTAATCTCTACACTGTATACAATATGGGCAGCACAAAAATACGTGTCCTAACTCCATTTATGTTCTCAGTGTCTTTAATGAGGAGAACCCACACTATGCACTTAAACTCAAGGAAAATTAAAATTACTGCTTTAGTTGACTTTTTAAACATAAAATTATGGAAATGGCAGTTTCTTTAGTTTAAGAGGCAGACACGATGTATAATTGCTTTGGTTCCATTCTTTATCTCTCTCATTCAACCAGGGATTCTTCCTTTTTGTTTCATCTGTGTTGATGTGAAGATTATACTGGAAAGCTCAACAGCTTTTCACAAGAAAGAAAAAAACACTTGGCTTTTATATGCATGTGATCCCCAAGTTATAACAGTGAAATACAACATAAGGTTCGGCAATAGTCTAGAGCCAAGGTAGGTTGTAAAGTATTTAGTAGCTGCATTTGATGCTGCTGCATTGCCCTGCCTGTCTTAATCAAGTAATTTTGAAGAGCTAATTGAGTCACTGGCAGTACACAGCTATGATTTCATAGTTATTTGTCTTCATGCAATCTAATCATCCTAAATGCATGGGCCATTAGCAATGCCTTGTCTACAAATGACCAGCAGCTTCATTTTAGTAAAAGCTGCTAGTTATTTCCCTATTGGTACGACTTCTCTGTGTATATCTTGTTGTAATACAACTCCTCATAAAGCAGAACCAGCCACAGAAACCATTTCTTTCTTTGTTAGTCATCCATTTCAGAAATTAAAAATAGACAAAGACGTTAGGCCACTAACTAGACATTAGCAGGCTTGAAGGCACTAGAGATGGCCTCCTCCCTCATAGTCAATGAAGTATAAAACAAGAATCAGGAAATGCAGGGCTCTAGCACTGATCAGAGGATGGCATCCTGACCTGTATTTCCGTCTCAGGGAAGAGATCTGAAGTCTTGAACGGCCTAATTGATAACTGGTTTCTTGGGGTCCTGACTTTTATCAAAGACAAACTATTGCCCCTTTCTTTAAGAATCAGTGCCAATAGGCCTGTAGTCACTGGGGAGGAAAGCTGTCTGTTCCAGGGATTTTAAGAATCGTACAAAGCACACATTGGTTGTTGTTATTGTTGTTCACGGGTTATATTTGCCAAGCTGTAGTAGCATAATTTCTAAATGACAGCATTCATACAGAGCAATGACCGCTGTTATTTTCCATAAATGCTATCAGTTCCCACAAGCACCATTATTCTGATATTCAAGGATTCAGATTCTTTAATCTCTCCTCCCCGATAGGCTCCACACTTGACATCAGCTACCCTGCAGATCAAATACTCTCTAAGTCTCCGCAGAATGAGCCTTTTCCCCTGATAAGCCTCAAACTCTAAGCACCTCTTTCAGGTTCCTATGCTGGCACCTTTTCAACCATTGCGATCACCTGACCCACCACAGTGACTTCGGCCACAAAGCCCTCTCTTTGTACCCCTTCTCAGTTGGCTCTCAACTCCCATGATAGGCGGGTCCTCATACATCACAATCCCAGATTTATAGCTCACTATCTCCTCAAGTTTGCCATTGACATTTGTTTTACTGGCCTTGCCAAATTCGGCTCTACTCTTGAACTGTCATGGATGATGAGGGCTATTATATCACAAAAGTCAAAAGCAGATTTAACTTAGTAAATTGAATTTTTTCTACTGCTATTTTCTACTATTCCAATTCTTAGGAATAGTAGAAAATGTTCTCTGAAGGTAACTGAGGTAAACATATTACTTCTAATGAACCAGAAGCTGTGAGTAATCCTAGATGAAAAAAAAAAAAAAAACTAGATAAATCACATTGCAGGTATTCCAGCCCTGTGCTGGGTGGGTATCTGGGGAAGGACAACACAGGAAGAAGAAAAAGGATAAAAATATGTAAATGTCAAGGAAGGCCTAACATCAGTACAATAGTACTTCCTGAACAGAACAATAATGAAATTGAAAGAACAGCATTTAGGGACTATCATGGAAGAATTCTTCAGAACTGAATGCAATCTTGGCTACGGGGTAGATTAAACAGGAAAGGCACACATACACACACACCAACAAACATACATTCCTAAATGCACTGCTGTGAAATTGTTAACATCTGGAATGAGACAAAAATTTAAAAGTGCTCAGAATTTAAATAATGATAACTTACAAAGGAGTAAGAATCAGAGGGATATTAAATTTCTTGTGAGCCACCCAGGATCCAAGAAGACAGTGAAAAAGTGTCCTTGTTCTAATGAAAGAGAACTTTGAAGTTAGAAGTCCACACCTAGCCAAACTATTATCCAAGTGACAGGCAGAGATATATTTTTAGAACTGAAAGGGACTTTGAAGTTCATTATTTTAAGGTTCTCTCTGAAAGAATTTCTAGGCAGTATAAACCACCAATAATGACTTCAAGAGGAGAGAATGGGATAAGTTATAGATAGCAAACAAAAGCAATAAAATATATTGAATCTAAATAAAATTGTATTTAGTATATTTCATATAATCTTAAAAATACAGCTATCTAGATACAGAATTCAAAAATAATAGCAGTGAGGGTCAAAAGGGAAGAGACATGAGGGCGACAAGGAAACAGAGAAAAATAAAAACATGCCAAACCTCTGTTTTCCCCTTCAGGCATATTGGAGATACTGAGTGATATATGACAGATATATTTGAACATTTATGATCACCATGATAAATTAAGATAGTCATTATAAAGTAGAAATAATATATTTAGTAGTTAACAAAAGAAAAATAAAAGTAAGAGACATCATTACGTTCAATTAAAGGTAAGGAAAAAGGAAAAAAAAAACAGAATTCCGATACATAGAAAAATGTTTCCAAAAATAGCATAAATCACAATAGCTTTAAACTCACTTAAAAAAGAAAAGTAATACAAAACAACCTTTCATACTTGATTTAAAAAAAATCTATTTCTGTAATGGTTATGTGAGAAAGTACCAAAACCACAGACACAGAAAGACTGGAATAAAGAGCTAAAAAGACCTATAGTAAGTAAAGACGGATATCCAGAATCAGATGGTACAGTGTTCATATCAGCAAAAAGAAAAACAAACAAACAAGCAAACAGTAAGTAAGATGAAGAGGGACTTTCCATGCTGGTATAAGGAGCAAGCCACAGCAAATGCTTACAAGTAGCGTGGCCTCAGAGACTGTAATGACTGTTCACAAGCTATCAAAAACTGGGGCAGCAGAAGGAAAGCAGATTCTGAGAAAGGACTCAGGTTACAGTTGTCAGGCCAGAGAAGTGCAGGATAGAGTAAGTACAGGGTACCGTGGGTCCTTATAACTGCTGGGTCCTCACAACTGCCGCCCTTCTCATAATTGGATGCTGCTCTTTCTTGTCTTTGTGGTGTGGTTTGACTTCCTATGTAACTGATGAAGCAGATGGGTTACAATCATCATATCTCCAGCCTGAAGCTTCTTCCTAGCCCAAAGCAAATTCTCTTCTTTCGTTACACACTGCAATAGGGCAAGCAGGTGTTTCACCTCTGGAACACACACACTGCCTGTTTTACTTACTGAAATTTCTGGGCTGCTTTTTTCCTAGCTGAGAATTGAAGAAAAGAAAATTCACCTCATAAAATGATATCATACAAACTGGGTGTCACAATCTCACCACTCAGGAAGCAGAGGCAGGCAGATGTTTGAGTTTAAAGGCCAGTTTGGTCTATAGAGCAAGTTCCAGGACAGGGAGGCTACACAAAAAAAGCCTGTCTCAAAAAACAAACAAACAAACAAACCCAACATCATACATGTAGAAAATCTGAGACAAAGTAAGTATTGTATTGGGTGGGAAAGGTTAATTTTAAATTACTATATCATGAAATGTAGTACAGCTTCATATATTTTACAAGTATATATGTTTATTGACAACAGATAAAGCCTGGCATACTGTGATTGAATTCACCCACAAAGCTAAAAACACATCAAAATGTAAAAGGCTCTAAGAGTAACTTCTGTTTTTTTATCATCAGAAATAGTAATTATACTTAATTACACATGAGTTAACTACAGTCTCCTTTAGCTAGCATGTCTAACATTTTCACCTACAAACAAATGTCCTGAAAGACCTCTTTATTTTAGCTCTTTTTTTTTATTGAGAATAAGAAAAAAAAAGTTTCCGCCTCCTCCCAGCCTCCCATTTCCCTCCCCC